TTTCCATGCAACGTTTCCCACTTCACCCAATTCACTTCCATGCTTCATTACACTTCAGCAAGCTTCCATGTAACTTCTCGCACTTTTTAATCAACTTTACCCACCTTCTATACAGCTTTACCGACATTCTCTGTAGATTTCCCAATTTCCCAGGCAACTCAATGCATTCATTTATGCTATACGAATAGTATTTATACTTTGCACAATGTTATAAGCAAATTCTCTAAACTGTCCATGTATTTGTAGCTGTAGTATGGCTCCATGTTTGCTGCTCTAAGGTTAAGTGTTAAGTGAAATGCCGACAGATTGTCGTATTGTGTATTCTAGTGTGTTGCTATTTTGTTTTAGAGTTTTGATTGAAGTGTCCACAGGTTGTTTACTGTAATCTAGTGTGCTTCTACTCTCTAGCAGAGTTTTGATTGAAGTGTCCACAGGTTGTTTGCTGTATTCTGGTGTGCCTCTACTCTCTAGCAGACTGTCGGTTGAAGTGTCAACAAGTTGTTTACTATATTTACAGACATCAGTCATGTGTCATTAATGGTCATTCATCTAAAGAAACAACCGTTCGTTATGGAGTTCCCCCAAGGATCAGTACTCGGCCCCCGGTTATTCTCAGTCTACATCTCATCACTTGGTCAAATTATTCGTAACCACAATCTTCATTTTCACCAATATTCTGATGACAATCAACTTTACCTTTCTTTCACCAAGGATAACATTTCAGCTGCTACATCCCAAATTTAAAGTTGCCTATTCAACATCAAGGCTTGGATGGTTAACAATAAACTACAGCTAAATGATGGTAAAACAGAGATATTGCTAATTTGATCAAAATTTCACCTCTCTCCAAAACCCCTTGCATGGTATCAACATTGCACCAACACTCGTTAAACCGGTTGAAGCAGCTCGCAACATTGGTGTCATCTTCGATGATTCACTTCAGTTCAGTTCAGTTCAGTTCAGTAAACACATCATCAGTACATGCCAGAGCATATACATGCATATCAGATGCATAGGACTCATCCACCAACATCTATCTGAGTATACCTGCCTTAAACTCATTCACTCTATCATATAAACTTGTATTTATTATTATTATTATATTATTTATTATATCCCAGTGTGTTGCTACTCTCTTCAACTTTACCGACTTTCTATGCAATTTCGCTAAATTTTCGCCCACGTTTAATGCATCTTTTCCTATTTCCAGGCTAATTTATCCAATTTTGAAACAAGTTATTTCTTTTCTAACCAACTTCACTCATTTGCTATGTGACAAGTTACTCATTACCCACTTTACCTACTTTCCATGCATTTTTACTCACTATCCATGCAACGTTACCGATTTTCCAAGCAGTTTTACCAATTTTCCATTCAATTAGACCCACTTTCCTTGCAACTTTACCCACTTTCCATATAAATACCTTACTTTGAAGACTAACTTTCCGACTCTAACTATTTTAGACTTAATGCGACCTTTCTCTCTTTCTCTTTTACACAATTTCTATGCAACTTTCATAATTTTCAATGTAGCTTTATCTTAACTTTATCCACTTTCCAAATAACTTCAGCCAGTTTACATGCAACTTCTCTCACTTTTCAATCACCTTTACCTACTTTCTAAACAATTTTACTGACTTTCTCAGTAACATTTCTGATTTTCCATGCAACTTTACCCACTTTCCATCAATGCATTCATTTATACTATACGAATAATATTTATACTTGCATAATGTTATGAGCACATTCTCGTGTGGAAGCATGATTTTTATTGTGACTGGTTTCTTGTCTGTCTATACAAA